CTGATCATGTTGTCCACCCACTGGATGGAGGAGGCGGACGTGCTAGGTGATCGTATCGCCATAATGTCACAGGGTCGCGTCATTTGTTGCGGCACCTCGGTGTTTTTGAAGCGAGCATATGCTGGCGGTTATCATCTCAGGATTGCCAAGTCTGACGAGTTTCGGACGGAAACTTTCCGCCCGTTTATCGATCGATTCCTGCCTAATGTGACGCTAGAGAACGAGACGGCCAATGAGATTAGGTTTGGCATTAATAGCGATGATACCCAGGCGTTGCCCGCCTTTTTCGATGAACTCGATAAAAATAAACAGGCGTTAGGGGTGTTCTCCTGCGGTGTTAATGTCTCCTCAATGGATGATGTTTTCCTGAAGGTGAGTTTTTAAAAATTATTATCATGTTGTTTTTTGTCTTCTATGGTATATTAATGTGCTATAGTTTTTAATTGTTAACTCATTATTTAAGTTACATTACAGACTGTAACAAATTATTTGATGGTTATTATGGTAGTATAAAAATAGCTAGATGATAATATTTATTGGATACATTATTTTCATTCAGCATTCATATTTAAAATAGTAAAGCATTTATCATATCTAGCATATTTTTTGAAAGTTTTATTTTGTAAATTTTATATTTCAATGAATTATTATAGTTGACTCTATATTGACTATATTTTTCAGGTATAATTTTAAATTCACGCATGCTAGTTATTTTTAGTTTTGCCTAGTACATGTTAGTAAACTAATTAGCTGCTGTTTATTACAATCAGACTTGCACAACATATTTGTTTACCCTTAATTAAATACATACAATTGAAATTGCATGTTCAAATAATTAAAAAACCAAAAATTCAATTTATATAAAATTTTAAACATAAAATAAAAATAATTAAAAATTAATTAAACAAGCTAATTAAACAACATCGCGCACATATCACTAAATTTATTATTATCATTAAATCATATTAAATTCATCACCTAGGTGATCGACAACGAGGCCAACAAAAAGCATATGGCGCCGCGAAAGTCTGTCCAATTAGAGAACGGCATACACTTAAACAACAACAATAACGTGTCCAACAATAACGGCCACGAATTCAAGAAGTACTCGGAAACACAGTCGGCGAAAGTACAGTCACGTCGCGAACTAACTCTACTTAAACTCCGGGCACTAATCGCCAAACGGGTGCACGACATGAAACGCTCCACGCGTACAGTCGTGCCCATCATGTCTATAGCCATTGGTTGCGTGTTTGCCGTACTCGGCCTCATTGAAACCACTGTCAACTCGACTAATAAGACACCGAACTGGCGACTGGACCTCAACACCCGAGCAGCCGGCTATTCGCCCGAACTGTACGGCTTTTACTACCAGTTGGAACAGTTGCCCGAGTCGTACGGCCAGTACTATAAACCCGAAGCGGCCGCGGAGGGCGTCCAGGCGTACGAGTTTAAAGGTGGCGATCCTACCGAGAAGTTGCTCAACGACTCGGTCAAAGATTTGAATATTTATCGAGAGAGGTGGCTCGTGGGCGCATCGCTGGAAAAGTACCGTAATCGTAATGTGTACGTGGCCTGGTACAACGGCGAGGCGCACCACAGTTTGCCCATCAGTGTTAATATATTGTACAACGCGTTGCTCAAGAAATTGGTGGCCGAGTCTAATAGCACCCTGGTGGCGCCCGGCGAGGTGGCCATCAGGCTCAATCAGGAAACGTTTGAACATTTTAACCCGCACTCGGCTTTCCTGCCCTTCTTTGGTCGCGTCTATAATAGTAAGCACTGTATATGTTATTCGGGGAAATGGGTTGCGACTGATGGTCACTCTAGTTGTTAGAGATTTTTGTTGTTGTTAATTAATTAAGTAGTAATTTGTGATGAGATATATTGAATATTGTTTGTGTGTATTTGTACTTGATGTAATTTTTATATATTTTAAATTTACTTAGGTATTTTTATACCGTTTTCCGTCTCATTCATCGCCGCATTCTATGTGCTGTTCCCGACCCACGAACGGGTCTCAAAGGTAATTAATACTAGCTAGTTAATTAAACAATAATTACAATATTATATTAACTATAAACATTCATCATTGTTTATATTTTTTAATGACCTAGGCAAAACTACTGCAACTGATGACCGGCCTAAGCATACGACTGTACTGGTTGTCAAACTTTATATTCGATTACACCGTGTATTTACTATATTTTTCGACCATGTTTATTGTGTTTTTCATTTGGGACCGTGCCTTCCAATACGGCCTATACTTCTCTACCATATCATCAACTGGTAAGTGATTTCTATTTTGTTTCACTTTGAGCTAGATGAATTTTTAAAAATTATTACCATGTGTTTAAAAAATTGAGCGGACAAGTGATTCCAATTATTGATATGACTTGAGTTATACTTTTGGTTGATTTTTGACATTTATTTTGTTTGACAGTTTGTTGTCTCTCTTTAGCGTAAATAATGCACACATTTTTGTGTATTATTTTTCCTTTTAAATTCATCACTAGTTTTACATTTATATATTTTTTGTAAGTTTTTCTGTGAATCAGAGAGAGAGAGAGAGAGAGAGAGAGAGAGAGCGATTAAAAAATTAATTTGATTTTAGCGTGAATCAGAGAGAGAGAGAGAGAGAGAGAGAGAGAGATCTAGGTCAAAGTTGTCGCCAATACTCTCTCATATGATTTAATGAGAAGGAGACAAACATTATTAATAAAATTAAATATACTTTTACTTAACTAGTCTTTCAGGTTATAGAAGTACCAGTGGTTTGACAATCAGGGGGTAATTCATGGGACCGGGAGATTTAGGTAATATATCAGGGTATTTAAAAAATAACATATGATTATTTACAAAATAATAAATAAATCTGCATCTTATACTGTATATCATGGTAAATAATCTAATCCAATTGTAGGAAATAATTCATAATCACCATTCATAATTATTAAAATGCATTTTATAAAAATGCGTTAAATATTTGGTTTGCAAACAAAAAATATTGTTTTATCTCTTTATCAGATCTGAGGAGGAATTTCCTGATGACCCGAAGATACCTGTGCTCTCTCTCTCTCTCTCTCTCTCTCTCTTTCTTTCTCTTTCTCTCTTCTTTCTCTCTCACTCACACACTCACTGATTACTATTACATAACTAATAATAACACAAAACTTTTTTACAACACTTTTAACAACTTATTTTACAATAAATTTATATAAGATTATAAAAAATAAGCTAAAAAACTAACAGACAAAACATACCATTCATCCCACACAAACACCTAGGTCTCCATAATCAGCCGATTCTTTCCGGGCACCGGCAAACTAAACACCCTACAGTTGACCATCGAGTACTGTACCGTGTTGGGCTTTGTGGTCATGGTAGTACTATTGATCAAGGGTATCGTGGACGAAAAACAAAACCGTGCGCGCGAAATGCTCCGGCTCATGGGTATGTCCGACTGGGTGTACTACGGCTCCCAATTTGCCAACACGTTCAGCATAATGGCCGTACAGTCGGCCCTATTGACCGCCATGTTTTGTTTGACACCAAACGCCCAGCTCAAGGGTGCCAATCCGACCCTGGTGTTTTCAATCATGTTGTCCTACAGCGCCGCAGCCATACTGTACGGTATGGCTCTGTCGGTGTTTTTTCGTAAGCCTACAAACGCTATGATCATTGGTTTCATCGTATGGCTGAGCGCTCAAGAGATCGCCGGCATGTTGTTTGAGAAGAGGGCCGGACTCACAGAAACATCCGGGTTAATTAAATCACCCGAATGGTTTCACCTGATACTATGTGCCCTAATACCCAACTATGGCCTGAAGGTAGTCAATGAACTGCTGGTCGAGTGCGAAGTGTACGCCGCTTACGGTAGTTTTGTCGACCAATACCGTGTGTACGCCGCCGACTGGCCTAACCTCACAAACATACTGCCCCTGTATCAGTACCTGTCGGTCCTATCGGTCACCTGCGCTATGCTATCGTCGACACTGATCTACGGCTTTATCATATGGTATTTCGATGTGTTCCGCGTGTATAACACCCGGTCTAACGTCCGGTGCCATACGCTCGACGGCTTCGACAACGAGGCCTACAATGACGAGAAAAAGGCCGGCAATAGCCCCTACTTCGAGACCGACCCCCAGTCCCTGCGGGTCGGTATAGTGGCCGACGAGTTGCGCAAAGAGTTTGCCGAGAAAGTGGCCGTCAAAAATGTGACCCTAAAAATCTATCACGGTCAAATCACTGTATTACTCGGCCATAACGGCGCCGGTAAGACCACGTTCGCCTCGATGCTAACGGGACTGTACGCCCCGACCAGTGGGAAACTAGTGGTCGACGGCATAGATGCTATTCGTAACCCGGAAGAGGCCCGCAAACGTATGGGTCTGTGTCCGCAGCACGACGTGCTCTACGACGAGCTCACCTGCGAAGAGCATCTGCGCCTGTTTGCCACTATTAAGGTAAGTTTTTTTTGGCAATTTTAACTAGCGCTAAAATGTACTAAATTTACTGATATTTTTAATTTAATGTTTAATGACGTTTATGATATATTTATTCATCATAATCAAATAGTGAATGATCTTAACATTGATTTTGAGAACAATAGTTATTTATGTAAATCACCTTGGTGAATAATTTTTTTATGCAAAAAGTAACTATTAATATGCATTTATTTTATTTTATTGTTGCCACCATAAAGGGCTGTCCGGCACCGCGTGTGGCTAGTGAGATCACATCCGTATTGGATCAGTTGGGCCTGTCGTTTAAGCGCCGGGTGCTGTCCAGCGATCTATCGGGCGGTATGAAACGGCGCCTATCGCTGGGAATGGCCATGATCAATCAGACCAAGATACTAATACTGGACGAGCCGACCAGCGGACTGGACCCGGAGGCCCGTCGGGGTGTATGGGATTTCCTGCTGTCCATACGTAAGGAGCGGCTGATCATGTTGTCCACCCACTGGATGGAGGAGGCGGACGTGCTAGGTGATCGTATCGCCATAATGTCACAGGGTCGCGTCATTTGTTGCGGCACCTCGGTGTTTTTGAAGCGAGCATATGCTGGCGATCATTATTTATATACAGTATATTAACGTTAAATACTTTTAAATTGTAAATAATTTTCGCATTAAATCCCGGATTTACTGTTGAATAGACAGCCGAGAGAGAGAGAGAGAGAGAGAGAGAGAGAGAGAGAGTTAAGAGTAAAATTAAATTTAATGTCTTTATAATGATATTTTTTAATTAATTTTATTTATTTATATTTTTGAGATAATATTAATCATAATATATTTTTACGTTTGAAAAGTACAGAGAGTTTTGCAAAATAAAAAACAAACACAAAACACAATTAATTATTCCTATGATTACAACCATTATATTAAACGTACGGTTAGTTCCGTAAACATAATGTGGTTTAATATATGATGATAACAAACGGAAGTATTTATTTTGGCACGATGATTATATAGATTGATTTATCAAAGGGAAATTGTCAGCAACAATATTTCCCCGTTAGTTAGTATGTGTTTTATATATAATGTGTAATTTAGCATATTTTTATTGAGATGATATACAATAGATAGAAGTGTACTATTAGTATACATGATTATAATGTCTACCATCATAAATATACTTATAATTTTAATAACTTCTTGATTTTTGTGTCTATTTATTAATGTAAAAATATAGGAATATTTTAAATAATAATCTATGTTAATTTTATGTTAGTATATTTAACCACGCACACACATACACTTTTTCCTCGTCCCAAAAGTGACATTAATGACATTTTGCCAATTAATGATCTATGTACATCGCATGTGTTAATATTAATATTCTGCATTAATTATTATTAAACAGATATAATTAATCATGGAAAATTTATTTGATAAAAACTGAATACTTATTTATTAATAAATATTTATTTATATATAATTTTAAGTGTAAATTAGAGGTCGTTTATAAATATATACATACTTGTGCTCTCTCTCTCTCTCTCTCTCTCTCTCTCTCTGCCATCTAATTAACCTTCAATGAGGTGATGGCGAACAGGGGGTAGGGGTGTCTGGATTAGGATGATCTATGTTATATTCATAACAATGTTAATTACTATAATTAATAAGTTGTAAATTACTTATTGTTTTAGATCATGAAACTATTTATATTGAGCTAACATTGAGAAAAAGTTATCAATGTTAAATTTTGTACCATACTTGATTTGTTTTTAAATCTATAAATAATATTTATGGTAAAATTATCATGTGTTTTATTGGTGGTGTACTTTAGTATAGGAACAATGCATATATCATTGATGGTGTAGTTTATTGTCAATAGACTAGTGTTTTCTGGTTTTTGATTGTAATTATTTTATGGGATTTCCAGTTTGAAAATCAAAATGATTGAGATGAAAATTGTTTTCATTATTTATATACAGTATATTAACGTTAAATACTTTTAAATTGTAAATAATTTTCGCATTAAATCCCGGATTTACTGTTGAATAGACAGCCGAGAGAGAGAGAGAGAGAGAGAGAGAGAGAGAGATTGTTTTTATAATTATAAAGTATGTGTTTTTTCAATAAAAAATCACTTATTATTAGCGCTAATACAGTATTCTTATGGCAAATATTAGTTGACAACTGAATGGTAGGGAATTCAATAAGAAATGG